TACGCATAGTTGGCGCTACCCGAGAGAAGGCTCTTGCCGGCCATGCCGCTGCCGTTGCGAAGGAGCGCGCTGAAATCGTTGGCGAGGCCCCAGTACATCTTGTAGCTTGTCTCAGAAGGGATCCGGTACGAGCCGTTGAGCGATGCCAGCGTAAGGGGGTACGACGCACTCGACGCGCTCACGACATGATACGTATTGACGAGTCCAATCGTCTTGAAGTTTTGCCACTGCAGCCGGTACGTAGTGATCCCAAAGTGGCGCCAATAAGCTTCTTCGACGTCCAGAGTCACCCAGTGGGCGGCGGCGGCGCGCACGGTGCGCAGCCAGGTTTTCCCAGCGTTGGTCGCGTCCAAATCATGTCCGAGGGCCACGTCGAACGCGTCGCCCCACTCGGCGCGGAGCTCGTCCCAGTCGGTGTTGCGCAAGGTCGTTTCGAGGTACACAGCGCCGTTCGTTGTCATGTTGCGACACCGATCTTGGCGCTTGGCAGAGTTGGCCATCTCCAACGTCATGTTCAAGTCGACGTAGCAGTAGGCTGAGAAGACCCACGGAATGTTGGCCGGTTGCGTGCTCCGGAGACCTTCGATAGCAGAGCGCAAATCGCGTTGCAGAGTCCGCATCTGTACGCGGGCGCCAAAGTTGCCCGGCAGCGTCATGCTCGACGACGACGCGTCACCCAACGACGACGCGACGAGGTTGACGTCGATCGCATCCAACTGCAGCGGTCGTGCGGTTAAATTGCCACGTGCAAAGTCGGCGCTGAGATATGACGCAAGAAATCGGTGCGTCGACGGCATCGAAAAGTGTGCCCACGCCAAGTCGTTGGTGAGCGACGTCGCCGATACACTCAAGTAGAGAATGCTCGTCTCGATCGAGAGGGCCATAAAGGCCAACGACACCAAAATTGGTGTCACGTAGCTCACGGTCGACCACCACCGCGCTGCACGAGAGAGCGACTGCACCAACGCGTGCGTTGGCGCCGATACGGATGCAACGGGTCGCTGCAACGACGTCCGGCGTGTGACGCACACGACGTTTGAGTGCAGTGGTCGGAAGGCTTCTTTGGGGTCCTTGGTGCTTTTCACAATCACCCACCGGTTCAAATCAAAGAGATAGATGCTGTCCAAGGTTGCGTACGGGATCAAGCCCGCGAGAAGGCAGGCAACCGGGTCGTTGGGCACCGAGTCGTCGCCCGTCGGGGACGTCGGTGCCAAGTACAGCGTTGCGAGGCCCGAGAGCAGGTAAAACTGCGGCGCGACATCGTTCTCTGCACTGTGTGCCGCTGGACGGCACACAAGAGATGCGCTTGCGATACCGAGCAGCGTGAGCAGTACGTGGGTGGTGACGAGGACTTGCGCGCGGCCCACGTCGCCGATCGCAACGGTCGAGCCGGCACAGACAACCGCCGTGTCCAAGTTTGTGTTGGTGCACGAGCGTTGGAGCGAAGCGACGGGTGTGATCGGGTCTGCGACCTCGAGGCCGATGTGAATAGCGCAGGCGATCACAGCGCACGGTGTGGCGTACCGGAGGGTGGACGCGTGCACCAAGAGCCGCGCTACATCTTGAAACAGAAGCGAGAGCCACGTCGCTTCAACCGACAGTACGACGATCTCGAGGATCGATCGTGCGTCGCATGTGAAGTAGCTCCACCCGCTCGACGATTCACGCAGCTCGACATTGGCGGTGCTGAGCATGACGATGGCGGCACCGCCGCGGATCAGTAGCAGCGGCCGACCGCTCCACGCTGCACCCACGAGCCGATGAAAGGCAAACCAGTTGGCGGGCGCAACGCGCGCTGGTAGAGCATACGTCGAAATGAGAGCGGCGAGCAGCACCAATGACGCGACAATAGTGGTGTAGAGAATGATGTACGCGATCATGGTCGTCGAGTTGGGGACGTACAAGTTGCCACCGCTCGTGGAATATGTCTGCGCCGCGTACGTACTCGATATGAGTGTCCAGGTCGCGACGTCGCCTTCGAATGCGACCACTTCCCGCGCCCCAAATGCCCAGTCGTAGAGCATGAGCCATCCATAGAAACCAAACGCATCGGGTGACAGCAGTGGTTGGAACAGTAGCGTCCAGTTCGAGGCGGTGGTCGTCGGTGTCACGTACTGCATGATGCCCACCGGCCCGATGGTCGACGCATCGAAGCCCGACGTGTTGATCTGCCATTCTTTCAGCGTCGCATCGGCCGCTGCAAGGGCGGATCCGCATTGACCCGATGCGTCGCATTCACAGAGGCGATCTGAAGACATGGTCAAGGTCATGGCGCGAGCAAGGAGCAACGACATCGGCGAGAAGGTCGTTGTCATGGGCTGTATACTGGTGCACAGCGTCGTCGCGTCAAACGGCTGCTGTACAAACGGCGTAGGGTTGCTGTAAAGGCAGAGAGGACTCCCGCCATAAAAGGCGTACCCGGTCGCCCACGCCGGCGGGGTCGGTTCCAGGACACCGCTTGGGATCGCCTTCTCAATGCGAGTGGCGATCTCGGGTCGCCGCAGCGCCGTTGCCACCTGAAGCACGAACGCTTGCAGCGCCCGTGGCGCCGGGATGAAGAACGTGTCGATGGAGAGGAAAGGGCCAATGTGCGTGTGGACTATGAGTCGCTGCGCAGCGTACTCTCCGTTGGCATCGTACAGCGCTGAGAACGTCTCGAACGTCGGGACGCAGTTGCCGAGTGTAAACGAGTTGGAGACGTTATTGCGCAGGAGGCTCTCGTTGCACGGCTGGACGCTGTAGAGGTCGTTGTTGAGCTGCCAGTAGAGGATACCGGACGACCAGCTTTCGAGACGCTGCGGGAGGTCTTTGAGCGTAATCGTGGCCGAGCGACCCAGCGCGTTGAGAATCGTCGCACGCTCGGTGATGCCGGCTTGGTACCGGTTGTGCCACTGCAACTCAAACCGGTTGAGCCCAAACGACTGCCACAGGGCAGCTTCTTGAGCAATCGACGTGTCGACATGGTCGAGCGACTGCAGAAACGCCCGACCAGCGTTCGATTCTTGCAAGCCGAGCCCAAGGCCGACAGTGAACGTCCCGCCAACGCCCCCAAATATGCGGATGAAGACGCCATAGTCAATGTTGCGCAGCACCGACGCAAGGTACACGGCACCGTTGGCGGCGTAGCGAGCACAGCGTGCTTGACGTGCCGCTGTGTGCGCCATCTCGAGCGCGTGAGCAAAGTCGACCCAGCAATATTGCGATTTGACGACAAGCGCGTCACCCGGATTCATCGCCCGCAGACTCGCAATGCCATGCTCGACCGACGTGAGCTCGTGATAGAGTAAATAGCGCATGTACGTGGGAGAGATGCTCGTAAACGAGGACGCAATGTCGTACGTCTTGGCCACGCGCACCGTGTCACTCACGAGGTTGACCGAGCCAGTGGGCGACGCGAGCAGCGCAGTGTTGAGAACGTCGATGAGGTAGGCTTGGTACGCGAGCGAGTAGCGGGGCCACCAGAGGTCGTTGCCAAAACTCTGAAACACCAATAAGCTGAAGTACCCACCCACAAGCACCGACGCGATCGCGGTCGCGATGCCAAAGCCGAGCCGGTATCGCCATGGCGCTGAGGGAGACAACAGGTTGGTGGAGCTCGTCGACGTTGATGGCCGCCGCTCGACTCTGGCGCCCGACGGCTGCACACGCCGCGACTGCATCATCATCCAACGAGATGTGGTGGTTTCGATCCACAGGCGCGCAGCTATTTATGGTACGGTCGTTGTCCTTTCTGTCAACGACGGACTGACCACGCACTTCATCCAGGGTTGAAGCACAGCGCTTGCTCCCACAGCTCTCAACCTTGTCAAGAACTAGTCCTTTCTAGCAGTCTTTTTGCTTGTTGCTTCCTCAGTAGTCGGCGACATTGAGGTTCAGTCAGCACAAGCCACGGATTTATGCTACCGCTCATAGCCCATACATATATATATCGCGTCATACCACAATAATATATATGTATTGTGGTATGACGCGATGCAACTTTGGAGAGACGAATCGACCAATTGTCTTTGGCAAAGCGGCAGTGTTCGATAGCTCAGCGAGAGAGTCTTGCGTTCGCGTTGTGACATTGTTCGTTTTAAAGATACCGAGCGCGACGAGACCATTATCCCGCACAGCTCGATAGTAAGATTATCCTGCTGTCGAGCACCGACTGGCCAACTGTGCAGAACGCGATGCGGGCGCGCGGCTTTTGCGTCACTTTGAGTGTGATCTCCCCGGCGCCTGCGTCGCACCACCCGAGTGCGAGTCCGAGTCACGAGCTCGCTAGAACCGTGGCGATGCACCTCGGACGTGCGAGCTGTAGCATTGAATGCGTCCATGAGTCTTTTTTGTATCGGAGGAGCGAGCGCCAGGTAAGTTCAATGCAAGGTGCCTGTCACGCCTTCCACGTGTACCGCCTGGGATTGGTCGAAATCATCGTGCTTAATATTTTCCAGCGAATTGCATGCCGAGAACGATATATTTTGGGGCCAATCCAATGGCGTTCTTGCTCTTAACCGGCTACACTTGTAACCGGTTGGCAGTCGACTCATCCTTCCACAAAGATATTTGTTCCGTGCTGGCCGCCGATCGACGGACGACCATGCGCTTCTGGCCCAAGCAAACGTACCGGCGCTACGAGATGGCGCTGCTGTGCACGATGGGCACGCTGCTCTGCTACGCCGACCGTAGGAGCACCGATAGCGCTACCCATCTCATGGTCATGCTGCATGTAGGGACCAACATTGGCATTGCGATCCCGTCCATCGAGCCCGACCACGCCAAGCAGGGCCAGATCTTATCCTCCTTTTACTATGGCTACATCTGCACGCAGCTCCTTGGCGCCTACTGGGCCTCGATCTATGGTCCAAAGCGCGTGCTCGTCGCCGGCGTAGTCGTCTGGACGTGCTTTGACGTTCTCACGATCACAACCGCGTCGTCGCCAACCTGGCTTCGCATCATGCGCATTGGCATGGGCCTCGGCGAGGGCATCTTGTTCCCGACGCTGCACATGCTCTCGGCGTCTTGGTACCCCGCGAGTGAGCGCAGTCGGCTCATGTCGATCGTCTCGAGCGGCGTCGACCTCGGGACCATTGTCGCCATGGCCATCTCGCCGCTTCTTCTCGAGTCGCTCGGGTGGCGCTCGATCTTTCTTCTCTTTGGCCTTCTTAGCACCACATGGGTCCTTCTCTTCCTCTGGCGCGGCAGCAGCAAGCCCGAGACCGACGCGCGTATCACCAACGCCGAGAAGGCAACGATTTTATCGCAGCGCGGGTCGCTCATGGCGTCGTCGCCGCCGCCATGGCGCCGCCTCGTTCTCAACAAGCACGCCTGGGGCATCTACGCGTCGCATTTCGCCTTCAACTATGGCTGGTACGTGCTCCTTGGGTGGATGCCGCAGTACTTCCGCGAAAAGCTGCACCTCTCACTGTCATCAAGCGGGCTGGCGGCCGCGTGTCCGTACATTGCGGGGTACGTCGGCGTCCTCTTCTGGGGCCTCGTCTCGGATCGACTGCTGCAGCGGTACCGCGTCTTGCACGTGCGCCAGATCATGAATGCCATCGGTCTCCTTGGGGCAGCGCTCGCGCTGTATCTCTTGCGCTACGCAGCGTCGGCGTCGGCGGCGATTGGCATGCTCTGCCTCACGCTCTTCTTCGCCCGCGCCGCGACGCTCGGGTATTGGGTCAACATGGTCGACATTGGCCCGTCCTGCGCCGGCCACGTACGCTCCTGAGTCGAAACTGATATGTTGATAGATTGATACATGTCGTGTAGATCATGGGTGTGAGCAACACGATCGCAACTATACCTGGCATCCTCGGAAACGTGCTCACGGGCTACCTCCTCGGGCACGACGCCAGCAACTGGGACCTGGTGTTTGGCATTGCAAGCGCCCTCCTTGTCCTGGGCGCGCTCCTCTTCCAAGTGCTCTCGACGGATATGGTTGTCATCGAGTCGACCGCGCCGCGCCGCGCGTACAAAAAGACCGACGCCGACGTCGACGACCTTCGGATGCAAGCGCTCCTGTTGGACGTGATGACGACGACCGACGACGACGACGATGACGAGCGTGCATCGACACGGCGCGAGGACGGCGAGTTTTTTATTTAGACATTTACGACTAACATATATATGCGACATGCACATAGTATACAACAATAATGTGTTGTATCGACTAAAGGATACTTAGGCCGGGGCCATGTACGCGCGGTAGTAGTCGTACGACCAGCACCAGCGCGGCGACGACCGATGGACGCGGGCCGGCGATGCGATGGCAGCGCTAAAGACGCGCTCCAGCGCCGGCAAGAGCGGGCCATCGGTGACCCAGACGCCATACTCGACAAGCAGTAGCGTGTACGGTACGGGCAGCCACTGCATATAGCGCAGATACCACAATAGCGCTGTGAGAAGAGGGGGAAACCCGCCGTCACGGACCACGTGGCGCACGACGTCGATGAGCGACGGGCGCCAAAATGTTAAGAGTGCGCGAAGGTAGAGCACGACGACGATACTTAGCGGCAAGAGCGCCAGCGACGTCGGCGATACTGTGTGCAAGAGCGTGCTCAGCAGGAGGCACGCGAGGCAGCGCAGCGTTGTTGCGCGATATGGCTCGGGCCACACAATGTGAACGGCGAGCGCGGCGCTGCTGCAGGCGCAGAGCAGCAGCCCCTGCAGCGAGACGGACGCAAGCCACTGCGCAAACGACGGCAACAGCTGGAGGCCTCCGCAGCCAACGCTCAAGTAGACCAAGAGCGTCCACGAGTCGAGTGTGAGTACGAGGTGCCGCAGCTCGGTTGCGTACGATAGCACGTAGCGCTCGAGCGGCCGGAGGCGCGAGTAGAGCAGGCTGATCACACTCGCTTTGATGGGTACGTAGAGTCCTGGCAATAGCGCAAACGATTGCGCCGAGGCCACGTCGCTGGAACCAAGAACGCCATCGAGGCGTAGCGCGAGGAGCAAAGGCTGGGCGCCAAAGAGCCATCCGATCGCGCCGGCGCAGCCCAAGAGGAGGTACATCTGGTCAAAGAAGACGCTGTACATGGCCAAGTGGAGGCGCAGCGTATCGCGCGTGATGGTCCATTGCCGAACGTAGTCGGCGCGCGTGCGCAGAAACGGGCTGCGAAAGTGGTGTTCGCAGAGCCGCGCCCAAAGCCATGGCGCTTGGCTGGCGTCGTGCCACGCGCGCGCGACGCACGAGGCGCGGGCCACCGACTTGCTGTCGAGGAAGCTCAGGATGCGGTTGATGAGGTCGCTTGGCATCGCCATGACGCTGCTGCTTGTTCGAAACTGGCTCGTTTAAGAAGCTTCTGCGCAACCGGTTTCTTCTTGCGGATGGCTACTTACGTGGCAGCTGGACAGGCCAGCACGTCTTCATGGGCATGCCCAGGTCCAACGCGAATCATTGCAACGTCCCGTTTACTGCGACGAAGCATGCACTACCCGTGTACGCGATGTTTCCTGCGGCGGCGCATGAGCAGCTGGTGGCCGAGCACGTCAACAGATGCGCCACAACGTCTCGCAGCCGCACGATTGAGTCGCCGTCCTCACGCCAACGTTGTTTCAGTGCGCTGCAGCGGAACATGGTGCAGCGCAGGTGCAAGGCCATACGAGTTTGCGTAGACAGTGATATGGCTGGAAGGGAGAAGAATGGCATCTACTAGTATGTGGACTCAGTACAGAGGAGTCGCGCACGTGGCGCATCGCAGCCTCGCGAACACATCATCCCGTCGATGCATATTCACTACATGGCTGCGCGAATAGCCTCGCGTGCACTTGGAGTGCACCAGGTAGTGGAGCTGGATCGACCGACTCAGATTGTGGTCGTATTTAATATTTTAATGCACATCCGCGATCCTACATACAGTAATTCACATATTAGTTTTAAACGGTCGTCGTGTGCCACGAGGCTGCCACGTCATATACAGGCAACGTCACGTGCTCCGACGTCGCTCGGTCCAAGACGCCAACATCGAGCAGGAGATGGAGGCTCTACAGCAGGCGATCAATAAACAGTACGCGTCGACTCGACTACTGCGCCCACAGCAACGGCGGCACGCCACGTGTCCCGCGTCGACAGAACCCTAATCCACACACAATAGAACCCGAATCACCATGGGGTATATATACGTGTACAAGGTTGTAAATATATACTAGTACAGTTGCTTAGGAGCCGATTTTGACTAGGCGCACTCGGCGGCGGCCGGCGGCTTGGTTTTCGAGCGCGCCTTCTTGAGGAGGAACTTGCGGTGGACCACGCGGAACTCTTCGGTGAACGCCCAGAGCGCGCTAAACATCTCGTCGAGTTCATAGTCGCCTTGCTCGCCAAAATAGTCGAGAAATTGCTTTTTCTAGCAAAACCCATCAATCATTCAATCTTTCAACCCATGCCATTGGTACCCGATCCGAGAGTGTACTCAGCTGGTCCGTCAGATCCTTGAGCTCCATGGCCGACTTGTCGGCAAAGTTGCGGATCGCGGCGGCCGTCAAGTTGTCTTCGCCTTCTTCGTCTTCAATCTTCTCGGCCTCGGCCACCAAGAGCGCATGGCCCGTCTCGAGTGCCTTCTTCTCTTGGTGCAGCTGCGGAATGAGCACCCGCGACGCCCGTTCGAGGAGGCCGATTTCATCTTCAAATTTGGCGAGTTCGGGTGCATCACGCTACATCAGAACGCATAAGAAACTCCAGTTTCTCGTAGGAAGAGACAACGTACGTCGACCGTCTCGACGAGGAACTGGAGCAGCGTCGTCTGGCCAATGAATGCTTTCGTCTGCGAGAGCTTGACGAGCGAGCTCAGCGAAAAGCCCGGCGCGACTTGGGTCTCGGCGGCTTCTTTGCCAAAGTTGAGAAGGTTGCCAATACGCAGGACGAGGAGCAAAATGTCCTACGACCATACATGAGTCACGGTCGGCACAGCCACCTCCACACGTACCCGGAGTTCAGTGCTCTCGCAGATCTGGTGCACGCAGCGCTGCACCAAGAGGATGGTCTCGCTAGCCAAAGCTTAGAAACGAAAGAGGAAATTGAGCAAATGTACTGGAGCTCGTGGCTGCGCGTCGGAAACTCTTGCTTGTACACGAGGCAGTGCATCTTGTCGGTGAAGCGCGGCGTATCGCGCATCTCGTGGCAGAAGCGCTCGGCCGTCCCGAGCATGTTGACGTCGCCCGGGAACTTGCGGATCGTGTCCATCTCGGTCACGTCCGGCCAGAGGTCGATGAGTGCTTTGAGGTGCATGGACGACATGATGGTCGGGTTCAAGTCGAGGATTTCCGCCTTGATGCGACTACAGTGGACAAGATCTCGACGTGCACTCGACTGACTACGGAGCCAACGTACTCGAACGGGATCTTGATGCGGGCGAGCGTGATCGCAATGTTCTGGGACTTCTTCATGTCGAGCAGCGAGATCTTGGACGGGGCGCCGCCGCGGAACGACTCTTGGCGCTGAAAGTTCTTGGGCTTTGGCGCTTCGGCCTCCTTGAGGCTCTTGACAAACGTCTTCTCGAGGGCTTCGACGCTGGCCGACGAGAGCTCGACTAGACATACACTGTAGTGCTGCTAGAAACGATGGACGTACCTTGGGACGTTTGCTTCCATAGCGTCGCGCTGTTGCCCGTGAGGTTGTCCTTGGAGAGGACGAACCAATGGAGCTTCTTCCGGATCGAGTCGGGCTTGGTGAGACGCCGCGCCAAGTTGGCGCCTTGCGCGACCGCGGGGGCCTTCTCGGGGTAGAGCCAGTTCGGGTCAACGCCGTCCATCTTCATCTTGTGCTGCACGGCGCCTTCGGGCATACCGCGCTTGAGCATGACCTTGTATTTTTCAATGATCTTGAGCTGGTGCGCGCGGAACGCTTCGTCAATCTTGTTCTTGGGTACGCTCGGGTGACTCGGGTCGAGGTCCAGGAGCCGCGCCGAGATGCCGTCGGCCGACAACTTGTGCTGCACGACCTCCTTGGGCAACCCGGTCTTGAGCATCTTGTAGTACATGGCGTACGTCGGGTCTTCAGCGAGCGTCGGCAACTTGAACGGGAGGTTTGGGCCCATGTCCAAAATGCTTGGGTCGACGCCCTCTTGGATCATCTTGTGCTGCACGGCGGGACGCGGCAAACCGCGCTTGAGCATCAAAAAGTACTTGGAGTACTTTGGGTCGTCGCGCAAGGGGATACCGGCAGCAGACGCCGCATCGGCTTCCGGCGTTGCTTCTGGCGTGTCGCCACTGGGCGACGGCGCATCCGGCGACGCGCGTTTCTTCATCATCTCTGCGAGCATCGCGTTCTTGCCACCGCCGCCCGAGGCTGGTGCTGTCGGTGGAGCCCGCTTCTTCATCATCTCTTCCAGCATCGCGTTCTTGCCGCCACCGTCCGACGATGGCGTGGGTGCAGCGGCCGGTGGCGCTCGCTTCTTCATCATCTCTTCTAGCATCGCATTCTTGCCGCCACCGTCCGACGATGGCGTGGGTGCAGCGGCCGGTGGCGCTCGCTTCTTCATCATCTCTTCCAGAATCGCATTGCGTGACGGCGGTGTTGGCGGCTCTTCGACTGGCGCGGCCCGCTTCTTCATCATTTCCTCGAGCATGGCGTTCCGAGACGGTGCGACCGGTGCCGGCGCCGGCGGCTCTTCCACAGGTGCAGCGCGCTTCTTCATCATCTCTTCCAACATCGCATTCCGCGACGACGGCGGCGCGACCGGTGCCGGCGCCGGTGGTTCGTCGACTGGCGCGGCCCGCTTCCTCATCATCTCTTCTAGCATCGCATTCCGCGATGACGGCGGCGCGACCGGTGCTGGCGCAGGCGGCTCTTCAACCGGCGCGGCGCGTTTCTTCATCATCTCTTCAAGCATCGCGTTCCGTGATACTGGTGGCGCTTCGTCTTCGACTACCGGAGGTGGCGGCTCGATCGTCTTGACATCGGATGGCGGCTCGGGCTCGACCGGTCCTGCTCGCTTCTTCATCATTTCTTCGAGCATCGCATTCTTGGGCGCGGGCTTCTTGGGCGAGTCGCCGCCTTTGGACGCAGTGCGCTTCTTCATCATCTCCTCGAGCATCGCATTGCGGGGCGGCGCGCTGTTGTCGGTCGTCGCTTGCCGGCTCTTCATCATCTCTTCCAGCGTCGGGTTCTTGGCTGGCGGCAGCCCCTTCTTGCCTTTCTTGGAGGGTTTCCGCTTCTGCTGCACCATGGCCTCGAGCGACGCCGCTTTGGGCGGGCCTGGCGCCGGCCGCGTGTCGAGAAACGCGTTCTGCCGCTGCATTGGTCCTCGGATCGTGCTGCGTATTGGCGGCGCGTCGTCGTCGTCGTCGGTGACGTGGCCGCCGCGGAGGCGCTCTTCTTCTTCCTGCTTGGCCTCGAGCTCGAGCAAAATCTCGATCGCTGACTTGGCGAGCGGCGTCGCAAACGTGCCATCGTTCGTCTCGCTATCGTCCTTCTTGGACGTCGATGGAAAGAGCGGCGCCGTCGGCAGGTTGAGCGCGCGCGCAAAGTTGGTCTTCTTGCCCATACCCATGCCACCGCCGAGGAGCGGGTTGGTCTTGCCATTGGTGCGCTTGAGGTCGGCGAGGAACGCCATGCTGCTGCTGCTGCTTGTCTTGGTCTAGTACGAGGAGGAGGATCGTCTTCGTCGTCTCGAGCTCGGTCGCATGCACCAAGCGGCGACGGTGATGAGTGGCCCCTCGAGCGGTATAATGCAGGTTCCAGGCGGGCCCATTTCTTTGACAATCCGGATACCGTGCCAGCTCGCCGGATACGAAGCGGTGACGCTTCTTTGTAGCAATGGACGGCAGAGGCGTGACACGTCATGCCCATGAGCGCGATCGGCGACTGGGTGGCACGCGGTACCTACACTAGACGTACACTGTAGCCCATCGTTGCAGTCGTCGCCACATGCAGTCTACCTCGCCGGTGCCTCAAGTGGCGTCTGTCAGCGAGGACGAGGCCGGGCGACGCGACAGGCGAGAACCGACACCACCCAAGGAGGCGTGTAGCAGGGCGGTAATGCGGGCATGGGTGGCGCTCTCGCTTCCGCATCTATCCCGCCACGATCGAGAGGCTATGGCAATTGTCCAGGCATGGTTCGTGGTTTGTGCCTACGAGTTCTCGCAGGTCGTGGTCGAGTAGCCGCCGCCTGCGCCTGGTCCAGGCACCATGCGTGGGACCACGCTGCGAGTCCAACGGTCGGCGACGCGAGCGGCTGCATGGAGCCATCACCGTGCATCTACATCACACGACAAAGCTCGTGCGACCTTGCATCATGCACGAAACACACACGCACGAGCAAGCGAACGCGGTCCTTCTGTTGCCCACAGTACAATTATAGCAGCGACTACCGACTTGGCGGCGCAAAGCCGGCGATGCGGTGCTTCCGGAGGCACTTGGCGGAACAGTAGACGTAGTCAAACTTGGTAAAGTACTCGCCAACGATCGGCTCGAACGCTGTAGAGCAGATGGAGCAGTGAATGTAGTCTTTTGGGATGTCCGCACACGGCGGCGGAACGTAGCCGGCGAGCAGTGCCAGCGGTTCGTGCAGCAGAACCCGAGCGCGGACGTCGGCGGTACCCAGCGCTCGGGCGGCGAAGCTCGTCCAGACGTGGGTGTACCCACCGCCACCGTAGCGAGTGTACTGCGTCTTGAAGTGCAATGTGCTGTTGACGAGGAGTTTGGCCGTCGGCACGGCGACGAGCAGCGCTTGGAGAGAGGCCGCAACCTCGCGGTCGCGGGGCACGTACGCGTTTGGCGGCAGCGTCGCAAAGGGCAGCACCTCGGTCACAGCCTCGAGCCCCGGGAGGTCAAAGCTCAACACGATCTGCTGCGCTGCGAGCTGCGTGAGCATAGGCAGCGACAACAAGTCACAGTGACAGAGCACGAGCTTGTCGCGACGGCCCGTGTACGACGTGAGCAGCGCCAGCACTAATCACATCAAGTCGGTACAGTCTAGGACGAGCAGACGACGTGAACTACCGTTCGCTTCGTAGCCGGTCACCGGGAACGGGTGAAGCTCCAGATACACGGCCGCTGACGTGGCCAACTGCGCCTAGAAGCCAACAAATGGTGTGAGGCGAGAGCGAATCTGTCATCGTGGCACCTGTGCGACGGCTGCCCAGTGCCCGGAATGCACGTTTCGGACGTCGACAACATGGTAGATGACGCTGGCTTGGATGGACGTGTCGTCCATGCCAAACTGGAGGTCGAGTGTCAGCGCCTTGGCAGTGGCGTCGACGGAGGCGTCCTGCGTGGCATCGATCGAGGTCGACGCCATAATGTGCATGTCCAGGCGCTGCGCAAGCGACTGCAAGCGGCGCGGATCCCGCAGCGCTTTAGGCTGCAGATCGACGATCGTGTTGCAGCCAAAGCGTCGCAGCGCCTCCAGCTCGCGAAAGGCCTTGTCCTCGCTGACCAGGCACGCGTTGTGCTTCTCGAGCGGGTGCTCGCGCAGGCGCATGAGGTCTTCGGGCGCGATCGCCACGTCCGCGTCGTGTGCTGGTAGCTTCTGCAGCACCCGCTGGCAGGCGAGGATCCCGCCGGGCAAGACGCCGCTAACATCGATGGGCCCGCGGACCGTCATGATGGTCGTCGTCGTCGTCATGGCCGCTCGTCAACTGCCTCATTGGCGCGCTCGCGGATTGGTGGGTTTCTGGCCAATCCGCGCGCAGGCACGTGGCACGCGCATTTGTGATTACGACACTGTGCCATCTCCGCCTTCTTGCTTTCTGTATATACCCGACGATTGCGATGATAGCGAATTCTAGCTGCACGATCTCTCGGCGCCACTGGGGCGAGAGGATGACGCGCTACCGGTACGAGCCTCAAGTACCGAGTGTACCGCTAGTCAGGATCTGGCTGTCACGTTGGCGCAGTCAGGAGGGCGGGCCAAAGTATCGAACGATGACGGGTTCATCGCCATCCCGTTGGGGATTGGGCGGTCGGTGTCGGATCCGTTAGCTTCGAACATCATGGCGTCCGTTGGCCGCCACACGCGTCAGTCAGCCTGGATGTCACTTTGCCAAAATGCATTGGATCCGTAAGCTCGCGCCGACACGGCGATCACGCGCATCTGAAGTGACGACGCTCGGTGCTGCGAAAACCCTCGACTCGAAGGCGCAGCAAGTCAGTTTGCTCCAAGTGCTCTTCCGCATCGCCTCCAACTTGCTCGCATCCGGTCTCATCTTTCTCTCGATCGTGACGCTCTTCGCGATGCTCAACGCAGGCCTCTTTGAGCGCCACGATGTGGTCACGGCGCCGCAGCGCAACGACGGCTACTGGGCTGCGTACGGCTCAACATGCCGCCTCGCCGCGTCAGGGTTTGTGCCAGGCTCGTGCTCGGTCGCCGAGGCGAGCATGACGACAGGCCCGGCGTGGGCTACGATCGGCCAACTGCTCGCGTCGACCTTTGATGTGCCGACGAACGACACGTGGTACCTTACGACGTGTGCAACGGGGCCGCCACACATGACCTCTTGGATGTTTGTGAGCTTCTTCGTCTCGTCGACGGCCCATCCCGAGTGCATTCCGGAGAGAGGCCCGCAGCTTATCGACGGTATCGCGGCGCTCGGCACGACAAACCGCCTTCCGCTGTATCCCAAAGGCGCGTACGAACTCATCGTGCTCGGCGACCACGCCATGCGCAACGTTGCACCCATGACCAACACGGACGGCTCGGTCAACACGGTCTTTGCCAACTCGTCGCAGTTTCTCATTGGCGTTGACGGCGCCGCGTCACACGATGAGACGCGACTCAACATGGAGATTTCGGCGCTGCCCTTGTCGGCGGGCGCAGCCGTCTCGTCCTACTCGCTTTGGTTCTTTGCCGACGTCACCGACAAGATCGCGTCCTTCGGGCTTCCCGGGTGGAGCGTCGGTCGACACAGCCAGCGCGCCGTGATGCCAGCGTCCCAAACCAACCTCGTCGTCGGCAGCTACCAGTCGATTGCGATTTTACAGTCGATAATTGGACTGGCGTCGCTCCTGCTGCTCAACGGCGACCTCATCATGACGCTCAAGGGCCTGGAAGGCGTCTTGCGGCGAAAACCGGTCTTGACGTACGACCTTGTCGCTGGCCTCGAGCGCCGCCGGCTCTTGCTGGTTGTGCTGACAATGAACGGCGTGCCATCCCTTGTGTACCTCGAGGTCGCCCGAGCGTTCCACGGCACACCGACGGCGCCGCAGCTTTGGCTCATGGCAAGCACGATGCTGGGCACGTTTTGCTCCTACGGCTTTCTCCTCGTGCTCTCGCTGCTCCAGCAACTGCCGTCGAGACTGACGGCGGTCGTCCCATTCTCAGCCACCGTGTTCCTGTACCTCAACACCATTCTCATCGCATATTCTGTCAACCAAAAGTTCATGGCACTTGGCTGGAGCTACAACTGTCAAGCGTATACGCTGCCATTGGTTGTCTACGGCATTGATCACATTGGTGGCGCGTGCGGAAGCGACCCGATCCCGCCCTCCAGCGCGACCCTCTGGCCCGTCATGCTCTACACGACGCTTGGCACCTTTGGCGCCGCGATCGTCTGGGCAATGCTTCAGCGCTTTGCTTTCTATCGCGAGGTTCGTTCATCATGTCTCTTGGTCGGTTGCTTAGGCAGTCTTTTGTGTAGTGGGTCGTGCCCACGGGCTGGACTAAAACGAACGGCTTTCTCAAGCACACGCGCCTGCCCAACTTCGTCTCGGGCCTCCCGCTCGGCGCCGAAGCCGCCATCTCGATTGGCAACAAAACGTTCTGCAAGCCGAGCACACAAGCCGTCCTCGGCTATGCGTCGGTCGTTCAGCGTCCGTCGACTAAAGTCTATGCGACGGCGACGGCGGATACGTCGACGGCGGTGCCAAATCAGAAGAACGAGACGCCCGTGGCGTACGTTATTAGTACATACAGTCTCGTGTCAGTGCTGCTGGGCTGCTTTCGACCCAACCCGCTCGGTACCATTCAAGGCAACGAGTTCAAGACTGTGGCACGCTCCGAGGTGCCCCATACGTCGGCGCAGTACGACTACAGCCGCGGGTACTGCGTCTCGTAGTCGCCAGTTTTCCCACTATCGCCATGGTCTTCCGTGACCAAGACAATAACGAGCCTTGTCGAACGACATACATACTTTGAACCTATGCTTGTGTTCTTACGAACGCAGCTGCAATGGTGCGACGTTCATTTCAGAGCGCGAGTGATACGAGGGCTAGGGTTTCTATGAGGGTTAGGGTTAAAGTCAGAGGACGAGCATTTGCAGCCTTGGCTGCGCAAGCTGGAACCAATCGACTGGAGCCTTTGACGGGGAAATGACATGTTTGTGTCCAAACGTCTCGCTAAAGCAGCACTGCGTGGACCAGCCGGACGACAAGCCACTCGAGGCAACCTAAGATCTACGACGGATATGAGAGCTGGGTGTAACAAGAGCGTGGGTATACACTTGTGTATAAATTCCTTAGGTGACGCATGCGCCACGACTGTACACGAACGTTTTGTGCTCTGTGCTTGTGGCGGTGACTTTGGCGCTCAAGAACGCGTTGGCTACAATCGCACCAAGTGGACGTGGCCGAATCCAGCCGAGGAGCACGGGCACGAGCGCGTACGTGCTGATGATGACGGTGATCGACGTGGCTTCCGATGCTTTCCGGGTGCCGTTGGTCGACGGTACGACGCTCGTGTTGCTGCTGCGCTTGGAGAAGGCGCCGCTTTGATGCCCGTCGATGGCTTCGACAACCGACGCATACCCCATGACGGCCTGCACACTCGGCTTTAGAAACGACTTGTGTCCGAGACGGATCGTCGTCTCAGGCCCGAGCGGCAAGCTTGTCAAATAGTGTGGCAGGCGCCGTCCGCGCAAGAAGCTGTTGTTGGCCGTCCACGCCATCGGAATGAGCCACTACACCGCTAGTATGAGCACTCGATAAATCTCAAAAATGAGATGCAAACCTTGCGACACGACTGATAGCGCTGCACAAGGCCATAGACGATAGCGACACCAAAGGCGATGGCAGTCGGGAGCAGCATGGACGGCAGCAAGAGCGCGCCCACGGACGTGACGGCTTCGGCCGTATACGCGCCCGACGGTCGGTCCGTGCCGTTGATATTGAGCCCGAGGCTCCACGGGCCTTCCAGGAACGCGTTGCTGACATCCGTGTAGCGCATATTGCAACTCAATACGACACCAACTGTCGTGCCAAAGAGAAAGACGGGGGTTGAGAAGGGCAGTACGTGCTTGAACGGCGACGGGATGTACTGCAACACAGTGATCCCCAGCAGCGCCACAAACGTCATAAGATTGCCGAGGAGCACGAGCGAGAGAAGCCAGATCTCGTCGCCGTTGGCCGTGCCATAGTAGACGCGGGCGACGTCGGCGTACAGCAGCGACGGCGCGGCGTTGAGCGACCATAGCACCAAGACGAGCTTGCGCCGCTCAAGGCCAAGCAAAAGGTCGTATGTCAACACCGGCTGACGGCGAAGGACACCGGCGAGGCCCTTGTACGTCATGATGACGTCGCCGCTTAAAAAGAGAAGCGAGAGGCCCGTGACGACGCCTTGGAAGATGACAATGTCCATGTAATTTGCAACGACCGACGCTGCTGACGTGGCGATCACGATGATCTTGCCGTTGACGCGACCGACGCTCCAGCCGGGCGTCGACGGCGGGTCCGATGTCATGTCGACAAAGAACGTGGCGTCCGTCGTCTTGACCGTGTAGCGCGGCCCGAGCGGCGCCGACACGATCACCGATGTGCCGCCACCCCACGACGTTGCGGGCACCGACCCGTTGACGCCAATGAGAAACTGGGTTGTATTCGCAAAGAGGCGCACGGACGTCCCGTCCGAGTTGGTCGCCGCCGTGACGCTCGACCGGTTCATCGTGTCGCCATAGAGCGTGAGCTCGTACGCGCTGTACGGTGCATCGAGCGTGCTCGTTGTCGTGAGCATCGCCATGCCGTCAATGAGCTGCGAACCGTTCGAGGGCACGCAGCTCGGAAACTCAGTTGAGGACGCCAGCAGCACGACGTAGACCCAGCCCTTGTGGCGTGGCCCCACCGCGCACGTCGAGATATACCACTGCGTGGACGGCAGCCACGAGATGGCGAGGAGCGACCCGACGCGGCGCCATGCGTCTGGCGACGTCGTGTTGCCCTCGATCGCCGAGCAGCTGTTGCGGACAAACCCGCGCCGCGTTAGCGTGCATGACTGCCCGAGCGGCGACCAGTACTCGGCGGTCTGCGGCGACGTCATGACCACGTGGCGGTCAAAGAGGCCTTTGGTCAAGAGCACGGCGAGCGTGAGGAGCGAGACGAGGAGGAGGGCGCCCGCAATGAGGTTGGAGCCAATGCGACTGACGACGAGACAGAGGCTGGCCTGCGCCTTGGCGTCGAGCGTTTTCTTGGTGATCGGCGCCGAGCTCCGGCGCGAGTTGCCCGACGAGCCACCTGCCATTGTTTAGCTGTACGGCAAATGATCGACGGAGGTCATGGAACGCCCACAACGACTTGACGTTTCATCGTCGGTTGATGCAAAGCAACGACGGTTCGAGCGCGTGAGCAGCGCCTCGTAGTATTGGGGCTGTACTGGCTTGCCTTGAGGAATACCCTGGAGTACCCTGGACCTGGCTGAGGTCTCGAGGTCTCGAGCAACATGGCCTGTCTTCCGCACCATGGTGTTGCTGGCGCGATTGGCCTGCTGGCCTTTCTGTCTGTGTCATCAGCTAGGTGCTCGTACTTGCTGTTGATGAGCGATGGCCCTTCCAGCACTACGTGGGCTCGCCGACGCGACGTGCAATCGTTAATGGTTAATATACATGATAGTGATCGACGCCCGCGGAGGTCAGCAGAGGAAGAGGCGCGTCACTGGAACGATCGGCGGCGCGTAGACGAGAACGACGTCAGTATCGCGCTCGTCGTCAAAAATCTCGTCGTCTGGCGTCGACGACAGGTCGATGAGCTCCACGGAGCGCAGTTGGCTCGCTCGCCACTCGGCGATGGCCAGCGCGAGGTCGCCAGGCACCTCGGACGTGTCGAGCTGCGGGCCGCTGCTGCGGGCCCGCGCCGGCTTGCGTGCAGGCTTGCGCGTAGACTTGCGCCCGCGCTTCTCTAGCTTCAGCGTCGCCTTGGTTCGGGCCATGACCAAGGTCGCCGCTTCGGTTCAGTCAATAATCCTCACGCGGTGAAAAACGGGCCAATCGCAGCTCAGAGTCGAGCTCTTGGCCAATCAAAAACCGCATACGTGGCTGCTTGGTCGGCGAACGTGGCTGCTTGGTCGGCTTGCGAACGTCGTGCTCCTGTTAGACGAGCGATAGGATTCCGCGCACGCAAGACGCAAGCCCGCCTGGCGCTCGCCCACGGGACAATGCCCGTTGCATGTCCAGAACCCCGCTAGACAGAGTGACGTTCGAACCAGCTTCGAGATGATGATCTCAGCCTCGGCTTCCTGCGTTGGTTCTGCAGTCGCCCGTCGCTTCTTCTCGCCTCCCAGAGAACGGGCCTGCTGGGGAAGAGCCACGTCAAGAACGATCACCTAGCGTGGACGTGGTCAATGGCGTCATCAGTATCCTGCCAGTCGGCACGCTGTGGACCTCGTCCATGTCCCCACACTTCGACAGCTCGCCTCGTGATGGAAACGTCGAGTGCGGCGCTGACGGACGCGTTGCTGGGTGACATGGGAGCAGCGAGTGACCCAATTGCATCTGCTATGCACAATACCGTGTACTAAAACTTGTTGAGCAGGACGATGGAGCACGGACGCCGCGTTGAGGAGTGTGCAGGACGACCACAACTCGTTTTCCCTCTACTTCGACGACCTGTCTGCCGCATGGAGAACACTTCGATCTCTCATCCTCCAGGATCGTCACTCGTTCGAACAAGATCGCGCGTCGCTGCAGCACATTCGGATTCCAAGCCGCCAACGCAAGTCGGTTCGCCATATTCGTTTTGCGGTTCATGGAACCAACGAATCTTGGTTGCAACTACTTATGCACATCCTCTGCGAGAGGTTGCAGTTCTAGTGCTTCCAAGGACGCAACTCGTACTGCTACTACACTGTGCGCGCCCTTTTTAGTTGCATCCACGTCCACAAGCTTGGTATGCCACGTTGTATTTTCACTTTGCCAATGGCGCCACCATCTGGGGGAATCTGAACGGCTCTCGTGGGACGCTGCGAAATGTTCCAGCGCCACGTGCATCGCCTGTGGAGTGAGGTGTGTGGTCACCGCGTCGTTCGCTGCAAAAGACCATAGTGTCGAGAAGCAGGGTCATGGGCGTCGGTGGCAGCAGCGACAAGCATCACGTTCTGGAGGTCGTGACTTCAACTTGAAGTTGCTCGCACCTGAGAAGACGACGCGCAAGAATCTTTGTCGGCCGTTGGTCGGCCGTTAGCCGTTGGTGCTTGTCTTCGCTACGAGGACGCAAATCCTCTGCGGCCCAACGTACATGGCTGTGATGCGCTCAGTTGTCGCGCTGGACTTGCTTGCGTCACCGCGGCGCCGGATCGACATCCTCAGATTTTTGCCCATCAGATGTGGTGCGATGTTGCACTGCCAAGAGAAAAACAGCTTTTGCGCCAATCCGCGATCAGTACAGTGCATGGCGTACGTTTCATTGGCTAAAATAAAAATCAGCTGGAAGCGTCTGGCGAAACTCACGTCCGTTCGAATTCATTTTCATTTCCACATTTCCACCAATATGGCCACGACGTCGTCGCCGATGCTCCAGGTCACGGCCGTCGCTGCCGCCTCGATGGCCGTCGTGGCCTGCAGCATGCTCCTCCGCCGCCTCAGCTTCCGCGAGACGAGCCCGCGCCCGATGCGCCTCACGGCCAGCGATGCGCCGGCGGCCATGGCCCGGCCGGCGTTCAAGCGCCCGCACCGCAGCAAGCCGCTACCGCTGCCCGCCGTGCGCGAAGACGCGGAAGAGACGGGCGAGACGCTCAGCGACAGCAGCAGTGCCAGCCCTCGCACGTCGCGCCGCCGACCGCGCATCCAAACCGTCAAGCACGCGTGGCGCGCGATCCAGTCCGTGGGCGAAGCGTACCTCTATACAGGCCGCGGGCGACGGGAGCTCGAGGCCGCCATGAACTTTGTTGTGACCGGAGCGACGCAGCAGCTCGGTCTCGACTCGCTCTCGCAGCTCTTCACCAAGCACCCGACGGCCGCAGCGCTCTTGTACGACCACGTCGATGTGATCCAAAGCACGGCGCATGCGCGTGGCGATGTGGTGCTGAGTCGCCTCGCCGGCGGCCTCCTCGGCGTCTTGCAGCAACTGGACGCTGCCGTCGACGTACCGTCCACGTACACGCTGCTCTAATGTCGCCTCGACTTTTCAACTGCTACGCTCCTCGGCGTAGAGTACACCACTACGAGTGCTATCCAGACACTATCCAATGCACTATCTATTTAATCCTTCGCTCTATCCTGTACCTACGACAAAGAGGCGCCGACCAAGGGAGGCGGCCACAAGGACCGATGCTCCCAGGATGGGTGCGCGAATCTTCCGAGCCTCCACCTCGTCAGGCAGCGACAACGTCGACGTCATGACCCCAACGCCCCTACAAAGCGCGTGAGTCACGGATGAGTGTCATCTGGTCCAGCACCGAATTCTGGTACCGTCCACCAAGTGTTGTCTGGTTGTGCGATCCAGATTCATGTGGCGAATCACAAAGCAGCACGTCGATACATGTCATCGCACACGTCGATCTTTGCGCCCCTTTTATACTCGCTTGCTCGACACGCTTCATTAAATGACTACCTTAAATGACTACCGGTACTACTACACTCAACTAGTAGCTCCTACTATTAGTTGCTCCTACTACTAGTAGGATACATGCTTAGCATCGGGCGTAGCGCTCGAACGGGACTGCCAACAGGTTCGTTACTCGGACAGGATCGACCTGACTGCAAGCAGCAGCCGTGCGCAATCACGTTGGCAGCGCAGGTTCTCCGCCGTGCGAGCATGACAACGCCAACCGCCGAGCCGGTCGCTTCGAATTTGGAACGCGCCGCTAGCGTAGACCCAGTTCGGAGAACCCTCTGTGCTTGGTCGCTTTCATTGCTGCTTCGAATCACTCTGCCCTTTGCCGTCATGGGACTCTTCAGCAATCGGTCGTCGTCGGCACGCGCGCCACGCAGCAGTGCGCCGGCGACGGTGGCGGCCAAGACCCTCGACGCCCGCGCGCAGGCGAGCAGCCTCGTAGTCTTTGGCCGCATCGGCTCCAACCTC